TTAGATTTGAAGTTCCCAGGAATGTATGAGGTGCAGTTTTCATTTGTATTTTGATGGTCTGGATTACTTGTCATCTTTGGTTTTGCTATATTCTTCCTTTTGGCAACATTTTAACGAAGCGCTGTTGGGTGTGTGTGTGTGTGTGTGTGTGTGTAGCTCTGAAGCTGTTTTCTCTGTTTCTCTCAGTCACATCATTCAAGTTTCATTGTCCTCTCTTCTGCCCCTAATGTTCTTTTTTAGAAACTAGTAACAGTTGGCCTCCCATTTCTACTGCAGGTTGAACTTGGCCTCAGGTAGGGCTGTAGACTACAAACTCCCCGGCTCTCCTCTGACAAGGCTGTTTTTCTCTTGTCAATTTAAAAGCCTCCTGTTATCTTTACATACCCTGTGAGACGTACAGTCTTACTGCTCTACTTGTGATGCTTGTTTGTCAAGGAACTTGAGGCAGATTCTTAGGAATAAAAGGTTTTGGGAAATCTGATGTTTTCTTATCTTAGAATTTCCTCCCATGTATAAAAACAGAGAGAGGAAGGCCAGCATCTTACCTTCTACATATCTATTTCAGTGATTCTCAAACTATGGTCCCATGAACTAGCTGGGTGTTCTCTTAAAAATGTACATTGGGTCTCGTATTCCCAGAGCTGTGCTCAGGTGCTCAGTCATGCATGATTCTTTGCAATTCACTGAAACTTGTCCAGTCATCTCAAAAACAAAATTTCTAGTTGCACTTCTTCCACACCTTTTGGACCAGCATCTAATTTAAACAAAATCTAGGATGGAATGCTACAATTGTCATATTACTACTGGACCAAAGTATAGCACCTGCAACTATCATAACCTTGTTAATCGGCTGTACTCCAATAAAAGATAAAAAGATTTTTAAAAAAGACAGAAAGCTGAAGGTGCTGAGCTACAAAAAAATAAAGTATAAAGTAAAAACCTCCCCCAAAGTACTTTTAAGGTTTAATGCCACTTATTATCTGTAGCTGTTCCTAGCTCCTTTAAACCTTCCTGCCTCCAATGCTTGTTCCCATAGACTCCTCTCACTACCCTTGTCAACGCTGTGTGTGTGTGTGTGTGTGTGTGTGTGTGTGTGTGTGTACACATTAGTCGCTCAGTCATGTCTGACTCTTTGTGACCCTATGGACTGTAGCCCACCAGGCTCCTCTGTCCATGGGATTCTCCAGGCGAGAATACTGGAATGGGTTGCCATTTCCTTCTCCATCAGTGGTGTCAAGTAGATGTTAAAGATCATGGCTACCTAATGATGCTTTTTCCTACATGTAATCAGGAGAATGGAAGAACAAAATAGAGGGAAAGTAAGAGCCAACAGCCTTCCAAGAATTTGTTCACATAACAAATATGATTGACTTTACCATATTTTTTTGTTCATATTTCCCCAGCACCTTTGGGACCACTCCCAAATTATCTTCAGGAATCTATTCCAAAAATGGAAGATTTTCCACCCTATGACTAAGTCTTCCTTTGGGAATTTTGAGAGCTGTTCGGATAAGTTGAGCAGATGTAGAATTAAAAGCACTTAGCCCCACACATACTGGCAAAGCAATTGAGAGGAAAGCGTGGATTGCGGAGCATAAGATGGTATCAGTGCTGGAGAGTAGCCAATTTGTTAGAGTCTTTTAAACAGAAGGGTACTAATTTCATTGATCATTGTGTGAAACTAAACTTTCTTGTTTTCTTTGTTTAAGGAAACATTCCCATCCTCTCTGTTTTAATCTTATATGATCTAAGTATAGTGCCATCCCTACTTTCCCCCCAAACTAACATGAAACATTTAAAATCTCCCCTCTTGTCCATGGAAAAGGATGTATTTTGTTACAAAAAGCTGTTCTTTTTTCTAATTGTTTCCTCATCAGACTTCACATTTCAGATACTTTCTTAATTCCTGAGTCACTTCTGTCCAGGTTACAAATTTTTCTAAATTTCCCTCTCATTCTCTCTAAACCACGCCTAGTTTCAACTTCAGTGCTAGCCTGCTCTTGCTAAAGGGGAGGTTAGACAGAAGTTAGGTTATATTCAGATTATGGCTGTGTGTGTGTGTGTGTGTGTGTGTGTGTGAGAGAGAGAGAGAGAGAGAGAGAGCGCAAGAGAGAGAAAGAGAGGTCTGCTGTGACTTTCAAAGTAAAATGTAAATATTAACTTTTCTGAGAAGCCTTCCCAATCTCCCAGAAATGGGAATTTCCCTCCCCTGGGTTCCACAAAACCTAGTTGATATTGTTGTAGCCACACATTCTGGGAAACAAACTCACTCAGAAGGACAATGCAGATAGTGGAGTGCAGTTTATTACATCAGCGGGCCCAAGGTAGAGTCTCCTCTTAGCCAAGGACCCCGACCAGTTTTTGTGAAAACCTTGTGTACCCTAATTGCACATGCCCAAACCCACCTCCCCAAATTCCCTGAAACTTTAGTCTGAACAAAGGAAAAGAAAAATACAATCAAAGTTAACCTGTGATTCATATGCTTTAAGCCTAGGTAATTAACAGTGGACAATTATCAATAGGCCTGTGGTCATACCCCAATAAGCATAATAGAAGGCATGATTCTATTCAGTTACACAGATAATTAGGGTATTCTTTTAGGCCTGAAGAGTCTAGGTAGGAGCCCTGGGGCTCTTCCTTCTGGGGCCTGATTTTCCAGTTGTTGTGTCGTTTCCATAGATACTGGGCATATAGCTCAAAGTCCACAGTCCGGCCCAAGATGGAGTCCTGCTTTCCAGATGGAGCCTGTTCTGTCTGTTTCCTCCTTCAATATCTATAACTGCCATTTACTGAGTCAGTAATATAGCATGTTCAATCTATATCTGTATTTCTCAGTATATTGTAGGTTGAAGTCAGATGGCAGGTCTTATTCATCTTCATAACCAAGCCCCAAACAAGTATATAGCAGAATTATAGAAAATGCTATTGGAATTCGGATTAAAGTCAGTTTGAGGTACAATCTAAATAATATTTGAAATGTGTTATCTCTTTAGGGAAATTCTCTTTACAGATATTTTCAGAACTATTAATAGACATCAGTGATAAGAAGAGGCATCATATATCTTAAATAAGTAGAAGATAATATTAAGAATTTGCTACTTGATTCGAAAAAGAGAGTGAAAAAATTATGTCTCCTCTTAAAGTACACTACCACCATAGACTCTGTGACTTTCATTCTTCATGAGGCAGCTTAGCAGAAACTGGAGATAACAACCCAGATGATGAATGAAATGATAAACTAAGTATAAGCAGGAAAAAAAGCAGCATAAATAGAATTTTTTAGCAAGTCATGTAAGTATGATCCAATAGATAACGAATCTTGGATGAAAGAGTCCAGGGACCTCCTATAAAGGGAAGGAGAGCTTGTATTTGCTATTATAAAGAGCATCATCTTATGAGTAGAATATTTTATGGTTTATGGTTTTTGCCCTCGGTGAGTACAAAGCAACCCTAGAGATTATTGTAGTAAACTTTGTCAGTTTTTGGCTTCAGCACATTTAATCTATCTCATTATCTTATTTGCATTTTATTCTCCCGTTTGGAGGAATTTCCCTTTGGTTGTAGTCTTACTACCGCCTCTGTTGCCTTCTGTTTACAGGCGCTGAGGGAGGGCAGACCCTTCTGCTATTTGTCTCTTGAACAATCATATTACTTAAACCTCCTGATCATACATGTTCTACCAGAATTTTGAATACTTAGAGAATATTTTGGAAGATCCCTTATAAGTGCATGTTCAGTCACTCACTTGCGTCTGATTTTTTGCAACCCCTCAGACTATAGCCCACCAGGCTTCTCGGTCCATTGGATTATCCTAATACAAATAATGGAGTGGGTTGCCAATTCCTCCTCCAAGGGATCTTCCCAACCCAGGAATTGAACTCACATCACCTGTGGCTCTTGCATTGGGAGGGGGATTCTTTATCACTGAGCCACCTGGGAAGCCCCTCCCTTAAAAGTAGCTGTAATGTTACCTTGCTGCGTATTTTCTAACCCTCATCCTGCAACCATACTAAACCATCAGAATCTTTAAGCCTAGCAGTTTCTATATATACGTGTATGTATATGCATATAAGCACACATACAAACATTTTTTTTTATGGTAGCAGGCATCTATTTCTGTTACTTGCAGCCTAAAAAACTGTCTCTCAGAGGTAGAATTTCCTGATTTTTTTTTTTTTTGAGCTAATTGTGTTTATTTTTTTTTTCCATTGCTTTTTTTTTTTTTTAATTAGTTGGAGGCTAATTACTTTACAATATTGTAGTGGGTTTTGTCATACATTGACATGAATCAGCCATGGATTTACACGTGTTCCCCATCCCAATCCCCCCTCCCACCTCCCTCTCCACCCCATCCCTCTGGTTCTTCCCAGTGCACCAGGTCCGAGCACTTGTCTCATGCATCCAACCTGGGCTGGTGATCTGTTTCACCCTAGATAATATACATGTTTCGATGCTGTTCTCTTGAAACATCCCACCCTCGCCTTCTCTCTTAAAAAACTCGAAATAGAACTGCCATATGACCCAGCAATCCCACTTCTGGGCATACACACCGAGGAAACCAGATCTGAAAGAGACGCGTGCACCCCAATGTTCATCGCAGCACTGTTTATCATGGCCAGGACATGGAAGCAACCTAGATGCCCATCAGCAGACGAATGGATAAGGAAGCTGTGGTACATATACACCATGGAATATTACTCAGCCACTAAAAAGAATTCATTTGAATCAGTTCTAATGAGATGGATGAAACTGGAGCCTATTATACAGAGTGAAGTAAGCCAGAAAGATAAAGACCATTACAGTATACTAACACATATATATGGAATTTAGAAAGATGGTAACGATAACCCTATATGCAAAACAGAATTTCCTGATTTTTGAGTAAGGATTTGAGTGAAGAAACTTACAATAAATCTCCCACAAGTTTTTTTTTTCCCTAGTTTTGATGCTACTGGCTCAAAAATTCCCAAGAAATTTGGTCTGTTTAATCTCTGTCACAGACTACTGAAAGGTTGCTGCTGCAAGCCATGTGTTACGGTGGGATTTGTGACTTCCAGAGGAGAGAATTTCGATCCAGGGTCAGAGACTTGACTACTTGGAGTTACTTGGAGCTTTCTGTGTAGCAAAGTTTTATTAAAATGTAATGTAGAGATAGGGAAAGCTTCTGACATAGACATCAGAAGGGAACAGAATGAGTGCCCCCTTCCTAGTTTTTACCAAGGTGTTTTATGTCTGTTAAAGTGAAGTCACTCATTCGGGTCCAACTCTTTGCAACCCCATGGACTGTAGCCTACCAGGCTCCTCCCTCCAATGGGATTCTCCAGGCAAGAATACTGGAGTGGGTTGCCATTTCCTTCTCCAGGGGATCTTCCTGATCCAAGGATCAAACCTAGCTCAAGAAAGCTGTTAATCAGATAAGAGACACCTCAAGGCTGAGGGAGTTTCACCAGGCCCCTCTCCCACACTATGCATTTTAAGATAGGATGCCAGGAGGTGTGTCATTCCCCAGCCATAAAACAATTGACAGGAATACTGGTTTGTTGAGTCATTATCAGCCCAAGGTTTAAGAAAAGAAAAAAGTTAGTCTTAGGTGGAACCATTTTGAAGAAAGGCAAATTCCAAAGCAAGTAGATAGTTTCAGTAACATAGCTTAAGAAAAACATTTCCATGAGAAAAATGCATTGGTTAGCTCAAAGCAGAACCAGGTGTGGTCATGTGGTCAACACAGAATTAAAAGACACCTCTTAATTTTGTGTAGCAAAGGGAAAAAAAAAGTCTGCCACTTGCAGTTTATTTCTTTTTCCTCCTGCCACTTGGGGACCTCTGGCCTTCCTGCCTGTTACCATCTCACTATCATTTATACAAAAGTCTTAAGGGACTTTCTAGTGTATATAATATATTTTATTGAATACAAATCTTTGTGTGATTAAAATCCTTATCCTGATCATTTTCTTGGTAGGAAATCCAATAGTGATTGTTCTCTATTTGTGTCACAGATTACAGTGTAAATGTAAGAGAAACAATAAGGAAATAACTTGGTCAAGGGATGAATTTATTCAGTTAAACATCTCTCCTGAAAAGTATTTGTTTCTAGGTTTTACATTATTATAAACTATTAGATAATGAACAACTTTTTAATTGATGCTTCCTTTCTTCCTCTACTATTGTTTAGGCTCATCCTTTAGAAAAATGGCAATACTGAGTTACAGTGTAATAAGACCCTTAAGACAGTTAAATACATTGTCAAATTATTTTCCAAAAGTGCTATACAAATTTATTATCTGTTTAGTCATTTTTAAAATACTTGTTCACTATACTTTCACTGTTCCTCTCTTCCCGAGTGTTTCATATTCCCTTGATTTTTTAAACAAATATGGTGCATAAAAATGTTGTCTCTCATGAATTTGAATTATGTTGATCATTAGTGAGGTTTTCAACCACCACAGTCTCCTCTGTGGCAATGGTTGATTAATGACCTTAAACCACTAATACAGTGTTCCTTTTTTATCTGGTTATTAGTAGTCTCAAAATTTAGTCATCTCTGTCAACAGTCTGCTACCGTCAACCCCAGTTGTCATGTACACTTAGTTCCAAAGATCACCCATTCTGCAAGTTGTGCTATCAGCCTGAATGCATATCCACTGGATACCTCAGTCTTGAATTTAATTGCCTGAAAAGTGTACTTCCCTTGGAAGTACCTCTAGTCTGCCTCTGAAGACTCCCCAGACTCTCTTTAAATCAAATTCCAGGCTGTCCTTCAGTAAAGAAAAATGGTTTTCAAATTTATTTCATCAAAGACTTATTTGAGGTATTATCACAATTACTATTCCATAGGGCCAGTATTCTATAGAACCCACATTAAGAATTGTTTAATAGCATCCAAAAAAATTAATTCAGAACTTCATGAAGTCAATGTAAACATTTCTTTGAGAATGACTGACCCAAATTTTGAGAGTTTTATGTGTAATGTGTAATGACTTTAGGAAGTAATCTTCCCAAACTGTAATGAATCACAGGTATTTATACAAATATCTCTTCATTCCTTATCTGCCTTACTAAGGAAATGATGGAAGCCTAGACTTCCCTCACATTAGTTATATCTGATTCTGGTCTTCCATGGTTTGCTTCCTCTTCCTGCTTCTGTTCCCTTCCACCTCCTCCCTTCCTTCTTGTCTCAGGCCCCCTCCTCCCACTCTTATACCATCTTCCTCCTTGTTATAATGAATGTTGAAGTTGTTCTGATTCCCTTTCATCTTTCCAGACACTGTTTTTCCCCACATCACTCCACTGAACCACTGATTTCTTATATCTGAGTCATTATTATTGATTGCAGACTTTTCTCAGTATTTACTTAAAATTACTGAAAATCTACCTTATATACCAGTGCTAATCTAATTCAGTAGCATTCTGAAGGAGGTTTGTTCCCTCTCCTATCCTATGCACAAAGTTCGGTACTACTTATCGGTACTTATGTCCATCTGGACTGATTTCACACTGTATTTGCTTGCTCTCCTTGTTGCAGTCTCCACTGCACTCCTTAATCGAAGCACTTTGTTCCCCTCCCTGCCCTGGCTGCCGTAGCTCAGTAGTGCATCTATTAAACTATTTAAGGAGATTAAAACATTTTGGCAGATTAGAAGGCATATTTAAAATGTTAATTACGTATCAATTCTTCAGTACTCCTCTCCTCCCGTTCTGATCCCCCATTTTATACTTATCCAAATGGAGAGTAATTTCAGTATACAGAAGCAGTAGAAACACATGGATCTTTTAAGTTAACCAGGAAGCTGTATTTGAGAAGAATCTTGCACCCTGTTTTAATTTCTGATTCAGTCTCAATGATATATGACTATATGGCATATGCAAAATGGTATTTTTTTCTATTTACTAAGCACTTGTACTTTCCTTTTATTCTCACACTGACATAGCAAACAGGCAGACATAATCGTAGATGGAGAAACAGAGGTTTAGAAATGTCGCATCACAAATAAGTCCATGGTGACAGCCTGCAAAAGGGAGGCCCAGGACTAAAACATAAGCCTTGTGAATTCCATTCCATGTTTTTGTTTTTTTCCTCTCCAACACTTTATCAAATAAACAGTGGAAAATCTTGGTTTTGACTGTAAGAACCACATTAGAAGGCTTTTTCCTTTGTTCTAGTCTAATCAGCCCATACAGGTGCACACCGCATGAGCAGATGGAAGTGCAATTAAGACAGATGTGATGACAGCTCATTCACAGACTGTGATGCTTTAAAGCCCCAGTCTTCGCCGACAGGCAGGCACAGCGAGCATAACGCAAGAAGACTCAAACGTGGGCACAAGATCTGGACAAGCTGTAGGTCGCTCCAAACTTTGAAAGCAAAGTGGCGTTTAGAGATTTTGAAATCCTACATCTATTCATAATTTCCTTAGGTAGTGAATATTTTTTTACATTGTTGAATATCATTAGAAAAAATAAAAGTCAATGCAGGATCATCGATTATTTATGCACTATAAGCCCAGTGAGAGATAAGTCAGAACGAGAGAGGGACAGAAGCTTTGGTGTCCAGAGTGTGAGCTGTTACATCTGTATTATATGAAGAGCCTAGATGAGTGCTGGGGGCAGGCTTTCAGTAATCCTTCTTTCTTTCCTCAGGAAAACCTTTAAACCTTAGACATTATTTTCAACATTAAAAATTTCTATAAGTAGGCCTTCTGGTTAGGATAACTTACAGGCACTGAGGGAAGAGGCATCAAGATGAACATCCTCATGGGTCCAAATGGCAAAGTTGAAGCCCAATGGGCATTATGCTTGGGGCTATGCCCTCAACCTTCTTATTCCTTGTGAGATTGTTGTGCAGAGGTGCAGAAGAGCACGCACCTGTGGTCAGATAAAGATTTCTATCCACTTCTGTGTTCAGTTCAGTCGCTCAGTCGTGTCTGATTCTTTGTGATCTCATGGACTGCAACATGCCAGGCTTCCCTGTCCTTCACACCAACTCCCAGAGCTTGCTCAAACTCATGTACATTGAGTCGGTGATGCCATCCAACCATCTCATCCTCTATCATCCCCTTCTCCTCCTGCTTTCAGTCTTTCCGAGTATCAGGGTCTTTTCCAATGAGTCAGTTCTCTGTATCAAGTGGCCAAATTATTGGGACTTCAGCTTTAGCATCAGTCCTTCCAATAATTCAGGACTGATTTCCTTTAGGATGGATTGGTTGGATCTTCTTGCAGTCCAGGGGAATCTCAAGAGTCTTCTCCAACACCACAGTTCAAAAGTCAATTTCCGCACTCAGCTTTCTTTATAGTCCAACTCTCACATCCATACATGACCACTGGAAAAACCATAGCTTTGACTAGACGGACCTTTGTTGGCAAAATAATGTCTCTGCTTTTTAATATGCTGTCTAGGTTGGTCATAGCTTTTCTTCCAAGGAGCAAGTGTCTTTTAATTTCGTGACTGCAGTCACCATCTACAGTGATTTGGGAGCCCAAGAAAATAAATTCTCTCACTGTTTCCATTGTCTCCCCATCTATTTGCCATGAAGTGATGGGACCAGATGCCATGATCTTTGTTTTTTGTTGGGTTTTAAGCCAGCTTTTTCAGTCTCCTCCTTCACCTTCATCAAGAGGCTCTTTAGTCCCTCTTCACTTTCTGCCATAAGGGTGGCGTCATCTGCATATCTGAGGTTATTGCTATTTCTCCATGCAATCTTGATTCCAGCTTGTGCTTCATCCAGTCCAGCATTTTATATGATGTACTCTGCATATAAGTAAATCATCAAGGTGAAAATATGTAGCCACTTCTGTGTAGCATTGTGCAAATTTCTTGACCCCTCTGAATGTCACTTTAATTTACTTGTCTGTTAAATGGTAATACTGGATTTTGCTAGCTACCTCTCAGTGTTGTTAAGAAGCTTGTATGAGATAATAACTGTGAAAGTTTGACTGTTTTAATGATTTCTATATAATTCCCTTCTATAATAGTTGAGTTCTAACACCTCCAAGGAATCAATAAGCATAGAAAGACCAACCTGGAGACTCTGCAGAAAGACAGTAATAGGAGGTCATAAGAGAGAACCAGAAAGAACTTGAA